GGCATTACATAGGAGGGAAAGTAATACATGGCTTGCATTGGGCATCGCATCAGCCGCCATTGTTCTGCACCATGCTCCTGTGCCCATACTTTCTGCAGCATACATTTGGCACAATTGAATTTGTTCTTTTCAGCAAGGCTTGCCAGGAAGAACAAATTCGATAATACGAAATGTATGCTGCAGAGGGTGCGGGCACAAGAACACAGTACGGAGCAGTGGCGGCTGGTATGGTGCCATATGACGTCACGTGCAAGGCATGGATACACACAGTAAGTCTTTGTGAACAGAACCAAGAAACATACAAGAGTAAAAATAATGAATTTACAAAACACAAGCAACTAAAAGCAAATCATGTAAATAAAGACACAGTGGAATCAGTTCAATCAATGCAGAAATTTTTCAACCTATTGAGGCTGGAACATGTTAAGAGCCGAAACAAAAGGACAAGTGATCACTGAGGGGGGTAACTTCTCCGGGTAAGCTGCTTCAATCCAAAATGGCAGAGATAAAGTGCACCGGTTATATAGGTGATGTGTGGTTGGGCCTAGCTGGCCGTCTCTTGTTTTTCTATAACGCTCTTAGGTAATTCTCATATTTTGGCGCTTATACATGCGGGGCACAGAGGCATGGTGGCATGGAAAAGGTGTGCACGAAGCTACGTATGGAGGGGGGGGGGGGGGGGGGGGGCTTGACACTGAGATTGAAGAGACAGCACTGCAGTGAACGCCAAAACACACAGAAGAATCCACATAAGACACCGATTCCTGTATTGGAACGTCCAGAGACACCCGGCACACAATCCATCTAGGCTTTGCAAAACCAGTACACAAGCACACCTAAGGTTGCTATATATTGAAAGGTAGCGCCAACCATTGTCTGAAATAGGGAAGATAAATTCCTCCTCGGCCATGCCCTTTCCCTCTAGAAATTTCTTTCCCCGTGCTTCAATTGGATGGGGAGCCACACTTGACCGTTCCTTTCAATGATCCCACTCGATTCTGTCATCTGCTATGAATTGGCGCCATTTTCGTGCGAGGTATGGAGGTGGTTCTGTTGCTGACAGCCCGGTCTAGGCTTTTTTTTTATTTTTTTATGTCCCACGACCTAGGAGGCAGCGCGATGCCATCTTGCTGCACTATGAATTGTATGAACAGCGTTGCAAAGAAAGAGGAGCTCTTTAGCGTCCCAACGGCAAAAGAAAATCTTCAGCGGAAAAGACACTGACTTTACCAAATCAGTCGGAAAAGTTTCGACTTCTTCTTGGAGAGATGAGTGTATTTGGTGGGTAGTTAAATTCATGAGGCATGTAAATATCAGACTGCATATTACTCCATGTGCACATGCAGTTGCAGGTAGTATTCAATGATTACAAAAACAGTATGAAGTAAACCAAGCTGCTGGTTAACAGAACGATCCATAATGTTTAAAATTACCGAAAAGTCCTGGGTTCGCACGTGTCGTGCTGTCTTTTATTTTAGTAGTGCGGATTCTTGGGCGAGTTGGTACTGAAGCTTTAAAAACGTAATAGCACTTCAAGACAGAAACAAAAGTAGGAATGAGACGACACAATACGCTAGCGCATTGTGTCGTCTCGTTCCTACTCTTGCCTCTGTCTTCAGGCGCTATTATGTTCTTAGTCTTTTATTTGCCTAACTCAAGTGATGCTTAGTCTGCAAATGTACTTTGTTCAAGATACTATAGGGGGTATTCACTGGATACCATATTTGAGGGCACTGTTTAAAGCACATGCTCAGAACGAGCTCACATTAATGGGCTGGTAAGACCAACAATTTTGATAGTATGGAATGCACCTCGCCCAAGAACTGTGGAATTACGCTGTCAGCATACGCTCGGCAGTCGCACACACAGCTATGGCTTCCAGTGAATACTCCCTATACTCCATCTTATGAGTTGTGAGCAGCAGTGGCAAAAACAGTTGAGAGTGTGGTTTTCAGATTTTCTCTCCTCTCATAAGCACTCGCGAAAGGAAAGCAAATCTGAAAGCTACAAGTGTCCACACCTATGTTTTTGCTGAACACAACTTGTGACATGAAGTATAAAAAGTTTTAGTAGGAGCCTACGCTAATGATTGTGGGCCTTGTAAGCGCATGCTCAATCCATAGACAGCGATGGCATGAGCTCCTGCTAGCAATGCAGTCCTTGCCTATGATCCACTAAACTATTTACACACAGGAAGAGGTGCCTTCTCATGTGCCTGCTCTCAGCACTAGCTGCAATAAATGGTTAAACGCAATATATATTTGCAGTGCATGTCAATCTCACAAAATACATTCACATTTTTTATCTTTTAAATTGTCTGTGTTCAGCAAAACTGAAGAAAGCTTGTTTTCACACCCGAGCGACTCCAACTCTGCTCACATTATTATATTTGCCAATCGAGACATCTTCTCCTGCTTCAGAACTCCAATAAAGGTGCGCAAATGCTAGTTTCCCCACGTTAAAAAACAAAACTGTTTTCATATTTGAAAAAAAAAATTGTTTTTCGCATGCAATAGCAAAGAAGTACGGCCTGCCACATAGGCAAGCACCTTGTATGCCTTGCACGAAAATGGCGGCGGGGGGGGGGGGGGGGAGGGGGGGGGGGACATGGCGCAGAAGGAGGGTGTGGAGGATCGCCCTCGATTGGAGGAAGGGAAACCTGGAGAGGGGGAGGTGCGCTACCTTTCAGTAAATAGAACCCTAGGCAAACCTGCCTAGTTGTATTAGATGCCTGTAACACAGAAGGTTGAGGGTACGTCAAATGCCTCGGGCAAAATCTGCAGCTGCCGTTGAAACGAAGCCTCTTATTAAAATTGGCATACCACAAGAAATGATGTCTGACAACAGATATGCATTCATCTCCAACAAGATTAGAAATTCTTACAAGTCAAACAGAGTGCAAGCTGTGACAGCAGCAGTATACCATCCTGTGACAAATGGGCAAGTAGAAACCCATGTTGCAGAACTCAAGAGGTCACCCACCAAAACAGAACAGGTAGCGTACAGCGTCGTCTGGCCCGTTTCCTTTTTCAGCAACATTCCAGGAGTCGCAACAGCGAAGGCAATGTTCAGCCGAAAACTACCCTGCCCCCTTGAGTTGCTGAGGCCGAAGACCGGAATAGATGTCAAGGAAAATCAAGACAAGCTCAGTGCAGCACGACGCTTCTTCAGAGGGGAGAAAGTACTTCGCCGACAATTCCCGACGAAGCTGGATTCTGCGTCGTATTGGTCTATGTTGTTGGCTCATTGATGACAGCAGCAAGGTACGACATCATTTGGACTACATCCAGAAGACAACACAGGCAAAAGAGAGTTCTGCTCCATCAGCCAAGTAGGCTGTGACACAGATGACATTTGTAAACCAGATGCTTCACATGATATTGCTGAAACTGCGTCATGTGCAGCATCCCAGTCGCCCAAGTTCCAGACAACTAAACGCCAACGGTCAGGCATCCCCCTGTAAGGACTTCCTCCTGGGTGGAAGGATTGATATGTTGCAATAGAAAAGCTACCATCGTCAGGAACCGCACAAACAGCGATGAGCACCAGAGCATGTGCAAGTGTGCGACACACGTAAACACTCCGGCAAGGGACTTTGAACTGAACGGACGGTGGGCCTAGTTGGCAGTCTCTTATTAATGCTCTTGGGTAATTAAAGTAACTATGACTTCTCGAACGTAACAATAAATTGGATGATCTATGGTGGGCCAGCCATAGCAAAGACTCTCTAAATAAATGGTAGGCAAGCAAAACACCTTCTAGTGCAAAGAGGTAACAGGTTAAACCGATGTTTCAGGTCGGTTACACTGGTAATGTGAGGAGTCACGAGCTATGAATCTAGAGGCTTTGTTTTGAAGAGATTCAATATTACCTGCCAGATATGCTGGGAGAAAATGCCAACGTACGAAAGGAAAGTTGGCAACTGGTTGACTACAGAAGAAACTTTCATAAACAAAATCGGAAATGCTGATGGGAATCCTGTTCAGATTGACGTAGAAAACATACCACTCTGCAAATGCTCTCTTCGTGATTCACCCAATGACTTCAAAGGCAGTTTTGACATGTATGCCACGGGGAACCTAAAATAGAAGGAAACGACCCAAGGACGAGGAAACAAAGACACGCTGCGGCAGGACCACTCAAACAGCAATGAAGTGAGCGATGTAAAGTTATACGACAAATCCAGTGGCCACGGCAACTCGAAGTGGGCACCCTAGGGTGCAGACACAACAAACCGCCACACTATGTATCGTGAAAGGACACCCAGGGTGTTTGACTTCCAAGTGCTGATGCAAGTCACCGTACAAACTGGACTATGTGAGGCTTTGCGATGGGTGTCCTAGGTTCTTCAAACAACCCAGACACCGCAGCATAGCCAACTAAGGGAGGCTTCAAGCACTACAGATAGAATGACCACGGCAAGCTCCCTGCTTGTGCCCACCTACAATCCACCGTGGGATGCCCAGCCCCTACAGTGAAAATATGGCTGAACAAGATGACCACTTAGCTGTAGCCTACGGATGTAGTAACTAGCAAACAACCTGTTTCACTCTCAAAAAACTTCACGGCATGTCCAAAGCATGGTAAGACAGATTGGCCACTGTTCAACGAACCTGGGACAAATAAAAGGCAAAAATGAAGAAGGCCTTCCCATCGGTATCAGGTTTCCAGCAGAATGAGTGCGCAATGAGAAGAAAAAGTCAGAATTACATACTTAAACGATCCATTGAGCCCTCACAAACTGTAAACTACCCACAGAACTGGTGGTCCACGGCTGCACCATTTGGCCCAAAAATGTTAGATGTCTCAACCAGAACAAAGAAACAACCAGTTCTGCATGCACTACGTTAATCACAGAAAAAGTATGGTGGCATCTTGTACTACCAGAGCATGCAATGGCCCAGCGCGCAACTGCAGCGATGAAGACGCGCTGCAGTTGCGCGTTCGGCCACTAGAGTGGTCGGAAAATACTCTATGCCATGCACACCGGTGTTCCTGCTGACTGCGATTAAGGTAGTAAGCACACATACAGAATCATGCAGGTTTCTGAAGTTTAGAAGCGTGATCTATGCCTTGCGATGGCGTCCTCCAGCTGTGGTTTCACGCCACACTTGCTGCTGAGAGTGTCATGGGACTGCCGGTAAGCAGCCCTCTCGGCAATGGCGTAGGTGGGCCACCGAACCAAGCACCCCAGCACAGCGTCAATCAGCTTCTGCACATAGTCTACGAAACAAAAGTAGTGTGAAAAACCATTATAAATTGTACATTGCTGTTTTCCATGCATTGATTTTTTCCTATCTAAAGTAGCAGCTGAAATGTCTTAGTATGACCTCTTTTCATTGCTTAAAACACAACTTTTGTATTTAATACTTGCACTCATGATCACAACTTTATGAATATTACAAAGTGCTTAAAACTCAGATCCTCACCATATGTGACTGCTTCTTTGGCAGGCACAACAGTCCATCGCCTGTCCGCCTTGGAGCACTTCTGATGGAACCTTGGATTTCCATCTTCGTCGATCAAGACGTCCCTGTCCGCATTATGGTTGAAGTGCAGGGCCGCGATGTAGGTGCTGCAGTTAAAATGTGAACATATCTGAATGGCTGTTTTCAAAATAATGACATAAATATTTTGCACTTGCAGTTACATTGTCTAGTTCTATTTTTCTTACCGTGATAGCATTCCCTCAAAGAGGAACTTGCTCGACTTCGGGGCAAAGTGGATCAGGACTGCATGAAAAGACTCTAGTCCAAACGTCTGCTCCTTTGGCGACAGGAATGGGATGTCCCTCAGGAGGTGCGGTGCCATCAGGATAGCTTCCAGCTTCTTGAATGTCTCAGTGCCTGGGCAAGTTTAAAAGCAGAACTTTGTTATGGAAGCCATCAATTATTATAATAACATTGGTAATCCAGTGTTAGGTAAGAGATATTTCATGTAGAATACAAAGTAACTTACAGCTAATGCACTTCATATAAAGTAGTAACTACAATAAGTAAAGTGCTCCTTAAGTAATATTAATTAAAAGTATTGGACGGTGGTCCCCAAACCAGTTGCAGTCAGTCACGTCTCGTTGATATGAACAGCCTCTTTTCTCCAAAAACGCTGTTTATAAAGTGACTCATTCACAATAACAAGACAAAAAATGCATGTATTTACCTGGTTCGTCACCAAAAGCTGTTTATATTTTGGGTATTATTTACATAAACAGAGTCAATATTAATTGGACATGACTGTGTGCTGAATGCATGAACTGTGCCTTATTTCAATGGAGCCCTGCCCAACTAAAACCGAACCAACAGCTCCATGACTCAGCACAATGGGACAGGCTGAGCAGGGGAGGCCACTTGTTGAGGTTGATTACTGCAATTTTACTGGCTTTAGTATCAGCACATCTCTCCACTCCCTCACTCACCTGGCCATAGGTAACTGCCAAAAACTGTCAGCTAGTGGATGGCTCATTCAGTAATCATTTAATCTTTTTCTGGGGTTGTGCAAGTCGCAGAACATCTGTCTGGAAAAGCACCGCAGAACATCTGACTGGAAAAGCAAACAGGTTGTTTGCTAGCTGCTGCTGGGAAAAGTATTTCCCAGCAGCAGCTATCATCACTCTTGTTATTGAGTGAGTACCTTTCCCCATTTGAGCCGGTTCAATAAGTGGCTGGTTAGGCTTTCACCAGGACAACCATCTCACGAGATCAAACACCAGTAATTAGGATGACTGCCGAATTCCTGGAAAAATTGCAAGCAGACGCGATACATCGGAGCTCGGGCCACCATACCAGCGTGAATGGAGTGATTCAGTCAACATGACCGGCAATAGACCATATGCGAAACTGCTTGGTGGTCTGGCACCACTGTGCATGCGGCCATCTTGGTAACATCAAGTATCTTCAGTTTCGGTTTCTCAGCATTTCCAGAACATGGGCGCTTGGCCACTAGGTGTGAATCAGAAACTTTTTTGTTTTCTGACTTCCGATCATCCAACGTGGACAAAAAACTAGGCTGTCATGCCTTTCATCTCTTCACTTCACTTTATTACCTTAAAGACCTCCCCATGAGGGGTACTACATCTCCGAGAGCACTTTTAAGTCTTTTTTCGATGCAAATACCAATGAAGTTGTTCTGTTTCCGGGTAGACTGCTCCATGCCAATACATGCGACTCAAGGTTAGCTTTTTTTTTATTTGTTACTGGCGAAAGGTTTTTTTCTTTTTTTTTTGTAAAGCTTTGTGTTTTTTTTAAGAAAACCGTGCCCTAAACAATATTTTTCAGGCATTGCGAAGAGCTCAAATTGGTTTCAGATAGCATTGACCTCAACACGTGCAGTTGACGGATGTTGCGCTATTAATCAAGATTTGTTCAACCCTGGCAGAATAACTGCACTAACTTTCTCAAAACTACTTTGCACTAAACAAAAATTTTACCTCAACTACAATATCCCACCCCCCTCAGAAAAAGAAAAAGTGATTGTAAAATGAAGGTGGCACCGTCCACGTGGCTTCATTCGACGTCCGCAATGCAAGTTTTCGCGACCGCCGACATAGAAGTTATAGCCACTGCGATGACACTAAGTTGAACATGGCGTTCAACCAAAAAGACAGCAAAATCCCATCTCTGTGAGTGTTGAAACAGATACGTCGTCCGTGTCTGTTGTGTTTTCTATTTTACATGAGCGTGCTTTAAATATTCACGAATATTATATCAACAAACTCTCCTAGCTGTTTAGTTTTAGAGGTGTTTTACAAACCTCGTGTGCCGACGCCAGATCAAGTGTATAGAAATCGCTGCAAAGCAATGAAATTGTTTCCTGGCTTTCTAAAGTAATTAAATTTTTTTTTAAGTATATGACATTAAAATGTGGGCTCTGTGGTGCTTTTAGCTTTTGTTGTTCACTGTTGACCATACGCATCTTCAATTATGATTAGTGGCGTGAAGTATTAAAACTGTCATCCTCTTGCTTCGCTTAACAGCCTTGGTCTCGTCCGCATACATTGAGCTGCTTGCACACCAAGAAAAACGCAAACCGACACTACAACGTGAAAAAAAAAGGTTCAGAAAGAAATTTGGTACAAGTTCGTGAAAAGATTAGGGCCCAGTTGTCAATGGCTTAATGTGCGATAACATCCACATGTTTCTTCGCGTTTTCACCGATTGTTTTTGTCAAAAGCTGCAACTCAAGTAACAAATAAAAATAAGAAAAAATTGGGAACCCTGTTCATGTTCGTGTTCACGGTATGCACAAATCGAAGGTTCATCGCTGCATCCGCAGCAGAACGCAGCAACGAGTTGGCATTGCATCTCTCGCACGAAGCGTGGTCACTTGTTTACATGGGGTCTTTGTCGGTCGGGTCACTGGTTTCGTTTTCTCGCCACTACCAAACTTTTTGTCCTTTGACTCGCATCACCCGACCGAACACAAACGGTCCGTTGTAAGAACCTTTTTATCACGTTGTGATGCAGTGTGCTCTAACAAGCAGCTACAGTTGCAAGAGGTAGAAAATGTGGTTGGTGCGTTAGAGCGGCGCCATTATCCGAGGACGTCTATTAACAATACGCAGAGGCGAATGCAGCGGGGAAGGGGGAGTGAGTCACGAGTGCGGGCAACGTCTATTGTATCTATTCCCTATGTCCAGGGCGTGTCAGATGCTGTTCGGAGAGCTTTGCGCCCGCTGGGCGTACAAACTGTTTTTAAACCACATTATACCTTAGCGAATGTGTTCCCGAAACCGAAGGACCGCACCTCTGCAGACGGTCAGAGTGGGGTCGTATACAAAGTGCAGTGTGGGGATTGTGACGCAACCTACATCGGCGAAATGGGCTGAAAGATGGCAACGAGATTGAAAGAACACAAAAGGGACGTTGCCAAGGCCACCCATGCCACGCGGTCCAAGACGGAACTTGTCGAACACTGCTGGACGACAGGACACAGTTTCGACCTGGACAATGCGACGACGCTGGCCCGAGAACAAAGGTGGGGGCAAAGAAAATTCGTCGAGCCCTGGTTCATTCGCCGTGACTCATCGGTGTGCAACACCAACTGTGGCCCCCTGCCGGACGTTTACGGGGACGTGTGTGATAGGTAGACTGGTCGACCTCACCTCATTTGTGTCAGTGTATACTGAAGATGCCACCTGCATAGGTGGCAAAACGTCTGTACCTTTTGTTATTAATTTGTTATGTTAAGTCGGAGTAAACCTTTTCAATCATGAATTCACCCGGCTTTTGGAACATTTTTGCATCTACCAAGATGGCGGACGTGGTTCTCGGCACGCTACTGATGGCGCTCTACATTTCGCATATGGTCTATTTGCAGATAGCAGCAGCACAGCTAGCCTTTGAATTTTTTCTAATTTGTCTATCTTCTTAGGACTCCATACCACATTCGCATACTCCAAAATAGGACATATCACTGTTTTGTAAGCAGTTAACTCTGCGTCTCTAGTAGCGTTATTTAGCTTCCATTGTATGAAGCATAGACCCCGATATGCCCAAGATATGCTTTACAAAGTACTTCAAGGACTCTCCAAACAACTGGGTAAAACTTGCCTTCCTCGAGCCAGAGACGATCAGAGATCTTGCCGTGTTCACAGGCTGGGTGTAGGGGATCAGGGTGCTCATGGACATTGATCATGTGCCTGATCAAGGACACCCACTTGGCCAGGACGAGCTTGCCGTCCCCATCACTCGTGCGAGCACACCAGTGGAGGTGCCGGATGATGGTTTTGATCCACTTCAGAAGTACACTGTGCTTCGTTCCTCGGGCCACAGCGACGATCTTCTTGTTAACACCTAAAAACCAGTGTATTTAACTTATAAGAACATGTTATCGAGTGCACAATGACAAAACCACAGTTCTTGGAAGCTCTGGTTTAGAAACTTTTGCTATGCTCTCAGAGAGCTTTGGCTGGGAAGAACTGAAGCACGACAAACATGGTATGGTTTATTGTTGTTGCTGTCGTTGGTTGCAAGATTTTTGGTGCAAGATCATTATTGGCCATACTCTGCCAAACTAAATACATTAAAGGGTGTAAGTAAGAGTGCACTATGACAATAAACAGGTATATAGCTAGAGTTCTGCATTTTATGATAAATGAGATTTTCTGATAGATCCGATCGGTGTCTGAGTGGTCTAGCGCACACCAGCTCAGAGCACGTGGAGCGAAAGCTCGCGCTGCAGAACCCAGGTATCCTGGGTTCAATCCCCGCTCCTGCCCATTTCGATCTGGATGAGCATCATACCGGCGTGCGGTCGTGTATCACTACTGCGTGGTGCACGTTAAAGACCCCAGGCTAGCCAATGTACTGCACTGGCTAAATTGCTCATAAACTGACAGACAAGTCGCACGTTGAGGCTGTAGAAACATACAACGGAAAAACACAGGGAGGCAAAAATATTGAGGATTCGGATACACCCGAAAACTCGAAATTTGAGGGCTACCAGTTGTAAAAATTTGAATGGTATATATTTTTTGCTTGAATTGCGAGATATTGAATGCTTCGCACAAAAACAGGGTATCCTTCTTACGACAAAAGTCGAACATGTCTGGCCTGGCCAGCTACTCAGCATCTGGTCTTACAGTTGGACAAGTATCTTTTCTAGACATGCAAATATCTTGTAGTGGCCTCCATTTGCTGCAGACAGTCTTTATGCACCTATTTGCACATTCCCTTGTCGCATCCATGTTGACAGGGGTGTAAACTTCAAGTAGGCTTTCTCAGTAACAGCATGTGGTGACCAGATGCAAGCTATCTGCTGGTTAAGCTAAGAAATATCTGTCCCTTTCAAGACTAAAGTAAAGTAATTGTGTTGTGTGTATACCAGAAGTTAGTCAGCCCCAAGGGGCATCTGGTGTCTCAGCTGTAGATGAACTGCTAGCCTGGGGTCTTTAACGTGCACCACGCAGTAGTGATACACGACCGCATGCCGGTACGATGCTTATCCGGATCGAAACTGGCAGGGCTGGGGATCGAACCCAGGATCCCTGGGTTCTGCAGCGCGAGCTTTCGCTCCACGTGGTCAGATTTGGTGCGCGTTAGCCCACTCAGCCACCGATCCCCCTTTTCAAGAATCGTTGCAGCGTTTATTGCTTCTAAGTTTTTCTGGATGCAAGTTAGCGCAAAGAATGGAAAATTTGCCCTTCCCATCACTGAGTACTGGAATTCTAATTGGCACATACTGCTGCAGATACATTGGCTTGAGACAAGTGAGAGGATTTAAATATGTGCATGCATTTATTTCCAAAGACATTTATTATCATCATAGACGGCTCAGCTCTTATTGTGTTGTCTATGCAATTTTTATTCTAATGAATCTACTAACTGCAGTCCCCTACCTCCGCCAAATGATTTATAAACCAAAAAACTCCCAATTTTTGCAGGCAACAAACGAAATCTTTGAATATCTGAATTTAAAGGGCAGCTCAGGTCCATCTTTTTTTAATTTGGGATTACGACTGTTCTTAGCTAAGGCAGCATCCCTGAATTGCAAGGTATTGTGCGTAGTTTTGTAAATATCACAGCTCGAAGTTTGGTTTCGGGCGTCTATAAAAAACCTGAAACTACCTGCCAGAGGGATGGCAACACTGATCATCAGACGTACAGCCACGACTCAACATCACCGTGGTGCTGCGGCACGCAGTACAACGTGCAGAATCAACTGCAGCTCCAGTGTGACGCGATGTCACAAGGGTGCTGTGCCAGTGCTCCTTGACAAAGAGCTAACCTGCTTGCCGCCCAGTAAAGGGCAGCTGGTCTCATCTTTAAAATTGGTTTTAGTGGAGTATGCAACTTCACTTTGGCGCAATATTTCGGCTGTGATCATATTTCGTGCCACTAAAACTAAGCGATACCAAGTCATTTATTTTGATTCGTTTTCGACCAGAGTTACTTTTTAAGATAAAGAGTACTCTGAAGAACACTCGGATTTCGCTCAAAATTGAACTTAAAAAATGCCGCACCCTAGCTGTAGTTTCTGTAAAATGCCTATATCTTCAAGAAAAACTACAAGATGTTCACAAATGATACGAGAGGCTGATCCCTTCGGGAGAGGACGGAGTGGAATAGAATAGTCACCAACATTATCGAAATGTTCTGCTGTTTTCTATTTTTGCTACGCCTGATGTCTAAAAATCACATAATCATAGCTGCACATTGCCCACTGCTACAGTTGCTGGAGTGAGGAAGCTCCCACAGTAGTTTATGTGTGCACAGCTGGGGGCATCCATCGATGGGTCAGAGAAATTCCTAGATGGGATACTGATGAAGTTTCCGGGCCCAAACTATCAAAAGACTGTTATGTAATTAACATTGTCTCCGAAACACCATCTACCTTTGTATTTAAATTGTTTGTACTGAACATGTGCCAATATTTCTTACACTCACACACTCAGCCCTCCCAAACCACCATATGAAAGAATGAGGTACCACTTTGTAATTAGCTTATTTTTTAATGAAATTATCTACTAAACTTAAGAACTAGTGCAAAGTCTGGCCACTATAACCATAAACAGAAAACGAAAATTTCATATTGCATCGTGCATACAGACGTAGGAGTTACCGGAAAATACCGAAAGAGCACCCACTCATTTTTCACTGAAAACTGAATCAATCTAGACATGGGCACTTGTCCGGTCAAATTATTTGCAGAATTCCTAAGCTTGAAACATGTTAAGAGTGGATGCTTGAAGTGGGCACTTCCACGGTATCTTACAGTACAATGTTTCTCAGTCAGTTTAGACAGCAACAAAAATTCTCCCTGCGGTATTTTGCAACCTTTTCTGGCAACAGACACCACTAATCAGTTAGGCGTGTCAATTAAGCCCATGGCTATGAAGCAATCACGGTTGCTCAGAGAATTGAACTGATGAATGAGGGTTATTCTTTCCACTATAATAAAAAGTCGGTGACTTTGGAGTGTTGAATTATGAATCAATGAGTAAGTTCTTGGGAGAGCCAGGAACCACAAAGCTTAGAATCAAAAAAAGAAAAAAGAGCAGCATTTCTAAGCCAGGAATTACAGACAGCATCACCAGCCATCTGTCAGCAGCTGACAATGACTGCAGAACAAGCATAGTACCTTTGGCAACATGCCACACATCGAAATGATGTCTGATGTCAGGATGGTTCCTCCTCAGGGCAGCCTTGCCCTCGGAGTGCCGGTCTGTTACCAGCGTGTCGACCGACATGTCTTGGGCACGGAGGTAGTTCAGACACCGCTCCATCCCCTCAGTCTCCATCCTGTTGCTTGAGGAAACCTCGGTGGACTGCAAAATATTTTCAACGTGCAAGAGATCAACTTTGATCTCACTGCCACAAAATGGGCAGACGTAAGAGACAATTTGACAGTTGTCGTGCATCCTATTTGCACTGATAAGTCACTGTGTCCTGAAGAGCCCTCAAGTTTTCCAAATTAATTCTCAGTTCTTTGCCGGGTAAATCACCGTTCTCAGCTGTAGTTTCTCTGCGACTTCAACACTAAAACATTCCAGCTAGTTTTTTTAAGTTGGTCACAAGATGCCAAGTCCACAAGACAATGTAGCAGTACTTATAGCGTAATGCCTTACTTTCACAAGCTCAGTGTGCAGGACACGGTTGGTGGACGTCTCCAGCAACGTGTATGTGCCGAAGTCTGCGGAGTGGCCTGGCGTATCAGCCCTCCCGTCTCCAGCAAGGCACAACCGCTTTCCTCGAAGACCATCGAGGAGCGTTGCTTGCTCGGAGTGCCAGACCTACGATAAATGAGAATGTACAGGTGAAACCCCATCTGCTATTGCAAAAATTTAAAATTGCCACACCTCAGTGACTGCAGGCAGCAGGTAGCAGCGCTGGAATGCGAAGTACTGCGTCTTCTGCAACGACTGCATGCCCATAAAAGAAAACAGTCGCAACACCTTGGTCGGGCTGCTTCCTGAGAACAGGATTGCAGAGCACACTGAAATGTTCCCCATTGGCTTCCTGTTCAAAACAGGCTGGCTGCGCCAGGTTCGAGAGTGTGATAGGGGACATGTCACTTCAGCCCGAACCATCGTGCCCACAAAGTCCAGCTTCACTTTGCATTCTGGTGCACCACAGACCAGGCACCTGTCGAGCAGCTCCCTCAGGCACGAATCGAAGACGAGGAACTTCGGCTCGTAAATCTGCTCTGGCTTCGGTGGTGGACATGGTGCACTGGTCCTGGAATAAGATGCAAACAAAACGTGATAAAGATATGTGCTGTATCCAAGGGGCTTCTTAGTTGCATTTTGAGATTATGTGCATGCTTTGACTATTTTGGGTCAGAACTTGATTAAATAAAGCAGATATGATGTATTAACTCTGAGTATTCCACACATTGAAGAGCTTCTAAAAAGACAGCTTCTTTTGCTGTCCTTCTACCTCATTACTGCCGTTTTTAACCTGTAAATTGACAAGTATTTTTACTCGGAAAGAATACAGAAGATTAAGGTGACAATTCTGCATCTAATCATCAAGGTAGGCAAACTTGTTTACAGTGTAATAAATTTATTACCAACATTTAGATAATTTAAATAACATTTAAGTACACCGCAGACAAACTAAGAACGGAATAACGCAGCACAACAAGCGAGGGGGCAGGCAGCGAAATTCACCATCGTTGTCAAGTCTCCGAATACACGACGAGCAGAACGAGCAGTGGCGCTACGTGCTGGAAGACAGAAAAAAGCCTTTTGAAAGTGTGGGGCACAAGCAGATCGCAATTCAAAGCGTCCCAGGCGGCAAGAGGATGAGGCCCTTCAACAACCTGAGGCGGAACGGAAACAATACGTCGCAGCCGGCATGCTTCCACATTCACAACTTGCGTTGAATGGTGTGCTGTGTGGGCCGACTCCTATTTTATGATTGTGAGCAACAACATGGAAACATTGCCACAAAGATCTCCAAATGATAACAAACATTAGAGGGACACTGACACTCCCCAAAAACATTTTTTTTATATTTTTTGCCAGGCGATTTATTCTGGTGTCACAAGTCTACCCAATCAATATTTTGCTACAGTGCCACATATATTTTAATAAAGTCAGAAAACACAACTGCTCAAGACCACAACTGGACTGGGGAGCAAGAAGAAATATAAAGAGGAGAGAGTTGCCGTAAGTCATGTGGCTGTGCAACTATTATTTATTTTTTTTTTTTCAATCAACATATTTAAAAATTTTTAGAAGTCACAAAAAATGGGTATCATACTTTTTTTTTCTAGTTTTAATATTGAGTGTGTGTGCCTTCGATGACCCACGACTTTAATTATCTGTGGTGGTTGTGTCTAAACCACAGACAACGGCACGTGATTGCGGATAAGAGAGTGAACGCGACTCAAACCGGCCAGTTCTCGATCAATGGTTTTCGGGCTCAATAATCAGTTCTGCAATTCATTTTTAATGTACCACCTCTAGCCTGTGCGCCACATCACTGCCTTGATTCCAGTTAGGAAAAAAATAAACTGGCTCACTCATCATCAGACTCGTCCATGTCCCACTCCTCCGGGCAGAATGGTGGATCTTTGCTGAATTGCCTGCATGTACAAAAATTTTTTTTTGTGTATCTAAGCATGATAAGGTTGTAGTAACATACTCGTTAAATGGTTATGCATATCACAAATAAACTGCCTCCCAAATGAAAAATCAAAAAAAAAATTCTGCTGGTACAAGTTGCAATTTAACTTGCACAACTTCAGAATCTCTAGTGAACACAGAATACTCATTGGTCTCAGAATTTTCGGCAGCAGCCTCTAGCAGATCTCATTGCAAACTAAGCATAGGCCAACCAGTTGAAGGTTGTGTTCATGCTGTTTGTGGTTGTTGATATCTTTTGTCACCTTCAAGCAATATGGTGCCATGCTTTTAGATTTCAGTTAGTGAGAGTGACTACCATTGATGAGGAACACAAATAAAAAATACTAAGACACTTTATAGACTAGTATACTCACATGTCATGCCCTTCATCGAGTGCACAGTCTGCCTCATCCACGTGATCCCTGCAAATGCATTGAAGGAACTAAAGGTTTCTGCATATTTGATGAAATATATAAATGTCTGTCTAAAGCTGCAGGGAGCCTCCCAAATTGGAGCACTATAATGCAGATACCACCAGTGGGGCATGGAGGCAGTACTATAGGAATGAAACAACAGGCAGGTGTTCAACATGGTGTGAACACTTGCATCACTGAAATAGCTGCCTCTGTGTAAGAAATGTCACACTTGTTCTTTCCTCTTAGTGCCTGGAGAGCACACTTCACTAAACAATGAAGACATGCAAGTCAGACTGATGTATTGTCGGGTGTTCCTAGCACTGTATTTTGTGGTGTTTTCACTGCAAACAGGCGACTATGTGCCCTGCACATGACTGCACCATTTCTGAGGGTCGTGTGACACTCGCATGACATTGTATTGTATCTGATGGCTTGTAGCGACCGCTGTGGACAATCGTGAGGTGAAACAAAGTATGGCCATTTCTCTCCAATTTCAAAGGTTTTCCGAATACCCCGCATGCACCTTTTGCATCCCAAAAGCAGTGTCCGATGATTAAACCTGATGGGGACGGCACCCAGGAATGAAAGCATCCCATGCCCCATGCCAAATGCTAAAGCCGTGTCTCAGAGGGACACTGCTTTGAAAATTAAGCATATCACATATATCGAACACCTTAATAATATCCCCATCCCACCATGCCAGACATATTCTTAGAAAGCTGATGTACTTAAAATGGTTGAGGTCCTGGTATACAGTGCAATCCACTTATAATGATACCTCTAGCCACCTCTAGCCTGTGCACCACCTCTTGCCTGTGCACCACATGCACCACATGCAGCACATGCACCACATACTCATCCAAGTGCTTCCAAGGGTCATCAGTAAAGTGACATGCAGGTGGTGCCTGCGAGGGTGGCCCTTGAGCGGCTCCAGTGCTGTTGGTCTGGGTGCCCACATTGCAGATTGATGGCTCTGTTTGAGTACCTAAAAAGCAGTGCGTTTTAACATGTTTCAGGTAAATGTGTGGTTTGCATCACAATACAAGAGCTGCTTCTAAGAATAACAGGCGGGTTTAGGTTTTATCACTGTACAAAAAAGCATGTAAGAGTATAAGGGGGGATCGGTGGCCGAGTGGTCTAGCGCACATCAGCTCAAAGCATGTGGAGCGAAAGCTCGCGCTGCAGAACCCAGGGATCCTGGGTTCGAGCCCCGTCCCCCCCCCCCCCCCCCCTGTTTCGATCTGGATGAGCATCGTACTGGCGTGCGGTTGTGTATCACTACTGTATGATGCACGTTAAAGGGGTGCTACAACGAAATTTCGGCGCTTATTTTTTGGTCTATATATGTTCAAAGGAGCAGTATCACATCGAACACACCGATATGTTGTTAAAAAAGTCACGAAAAGGAATTTTAAAACAAATTAAACGACTAGCAAAGAGCACCTGGTGGATGTCACTAACGCCTCGTTTGTAATGCCCATCTAGGAACCTTGACAGCTAGTGACGGTGAGTGTCTCGCCTCCGGCCACGACGAGAGAAGAGGTGAAGGAGGAACTCCCCTCTTCCCGAGAATCCCTTTTGTGCGTCCCAGACGTCGCTATTGCCCCTCTACAATATTATAGAAGATTAACCCGTCACTCAAAATTCTTACAAAAGCAGCTGCTTCGGTGGCTGGAACGACTAGGCCATCCTCGACGTCAGCTTCGCGGTAGCTTTGCTCGTCCCGAGACGACCTACGTCACGACTGCGTTGGATGTCACGTGCTCTAAGCTGGGCCTTCCCTGAGCGCTTGCCAGAATGGGCCGTTTATAACAAAAAATAGAGCCACCGGGCTCAAAATACAAACGTGCGATTGTCATTTACTGATATTGTGGATGATATTCAACCTATTTTTGAGCACGACGGATATATTTCAAATTTCGTTGAAGTATCCCAGGCTAGCGGTTGTACCGCACTGGGTAAATTGCTCATCTACAGCTGGGAGACTCGTCGCCCGTTGAGGCAGACCAAGTTCTAGGCTGTATAAACATACACACAACCCAATTACAGTAAAACCTCGTTATAACAAAATGGGATATGACAAATTAATGGATATAACAAAGCAATCATAATTCCCCTTGCTTGAGTAATTGGAAGACATGGACATTGGCTATAACAAACTAATGGTTATAACGAAATAATTACAACCGCTCTTCTTTATAACGAGGTTTTACTGTATTATTAAGAGTATAAACTATGACAGTTGCAAGATGGCATAAAAACTGCCCACAACGTCCACTTTTGTCTGTCAATCCCACATTCACAACCGTGGCGACTGGAACAGTGGCACAGCAATCAATTATATGATAGCTTGGCAAGCAGCATACAAAGAACAGACACGATAGCTTGTAGTGGTATCCCAAACGTTCCCAAATGCCAGCTGCTGCGCGAATTTAGGTATGCTAGCCAAGAAACGCTCCGAGCATGTGAATCCACCTAAAGATGCAAAACTGCAGGGCGAAAGTATCTGTCTGGCCCTGTCCTTTCTGGGCACTGTGCATTAAAGTGTAATTCACTGTTAAACAGTTCATTTCTCTTATAATTTATGTTGGCATATCATTATAAAGCACACATATTCCCAGATTGGTAGACCCCATTTGATTAATAAACACTACAAGGCAGTTCTTTCTTGATAACTTAATGTTAAAGAATTTATTATGCCCATAGAAACCTGTTGGCCTGGCAGACTCAACGTCCTATTTCGTGGATGAAAGGGTCATCGACACACGTTTTATACTTGATGTTCAAAGACGGTTCATAGACACAGCTGCGCTTCGTCAACAAAACATGATCACATTGTTGTCTCGTTTATCGCTGCGCAATAAACATGGTTGTTTATCCCACGGAAAACAAAACAAAATTACAAGTGAGAGTTAGTTGACAGCTTCTCGCAATAGCGTAGTGCATCAGCAAGCACAATACCGAGCGTTTCGACAGGAGCCAAACTTGATTTGACACAGAGTAAAATTCCACAGACAGCACGGTCATTCTGAAACCGGAAAGGTTTCAGGCAACAAGGTGCCTGGATGGAAAAAACCTTCACATCGTTAAAAATGTGTGCATACAACAAATGCAAATGCAAAAGAAAAAAAAAACGGGAAAGCAAGCCAAGGGCATTGGTGCAGTTGAAGGTGAGCACGTTGGTTTTGATGACTGGTTACAGAAAGAATAAACAGAAAGGACGGACAAGGACGGATAACCAGGCATTGGTATGTTAACATACCAATGCTTCTACCCTTGAACACTGTCTGTGTCTTCTTTCTCCTGGTCGCCAGGGAAATGTTCGCTTGGCAGCCGACATCAGCACTTCCGGAGTCTGGCTGTTCACTCGAGGCTTCACTGCCGCTCTCCATTGCTGGTACAGGAGAACCCCGTTCAGATGGTTCAGGTGCAGCAGCAGCACTCAGTGCATCCTGCACCAGCTGCATTCAATAATGTACAAACTCGTTTGAGACAGAACAATGTATTTATTACTAAACAGAATGTTGTGCAGATTGTTGTGTGCTCATTGTAGGCTCATCACAAGTGGTTTTGACTTTGCTGACAATAAAATACTGAAATGTATTAAAATAGTAAAATTTAAGAAGAACTTGGTTTCATTATAACAGCAATAAGTGTGGCGACGGCATCTGTAACGTTGAAGTAAATTCGATGCTAGTCTATAAAAAAAAGGTAAAAAAACCACATGCGCGCACTCACGATTTTTTTTTTTTTTTTTTAGTTTGTTTTTGACAATTGTGTGTAACAGGTACTACGTGGTGCGACAGCTCGATGCAAATATATTTCACTCAGAAGAAATCACAACTCGAGCAATGAGAAGTACCAAGGGCAGCCGCATTGAATCCTATAGCTGCCGACAGCGGCGATGCGAGCAGAATAGACTATCGCGGCAATCGGTCCGTACAACTTCCAAATTAAAACAACAACGCCGTAAAAAAAAAAAAAAAAAAGAAACCAGCTTTTTTTTTTTTATTTCCTTTTTTTACGAGCGCTCAAGCGAACGAAAAACCAGCACCAACCTCTGTTCTTCTTCTTTTCGCGAGGGCTCCTCTTTCGATGGGGGGTCGTGGGGGCTCTCTGTACTTGAAGAGCGTTGGCACAGCTCCAGGCTTCAGTTTTCGGTACCCGTGGCCGATGCCGAAATCAAGCTTCAGAAGGCTATTCACCTCGTAGCAGTCGGCGTGAAAATGTTCCGAGCACAGTCGTGTGGCGCTCGACGGTTTCCACATATCACGCCGAACTGCTCGCTGCCATTGCTCGCGCAGGGCGCCTTCAGTAGGGAATCGATGAAACGAGACGCCGCGGTTGTTCCTGGTGCTGTTCGTACAGCCGACAGCACAGCACCAGTTTCCGCCGCCCATTGTGCAGGCAAGGGGAACCTTAAAGCGATCGAATTAATAGCGAAAAACCTTACTCACGCCCGCACCTCACGAAACAACCGCACATCGCTGCCTTCCATTGACGTCATATCACGTGCGACTACCCATGTTGCCAATGCAGACTCGCCTGTTGGAATCGACTCGAAACACGTAATTTGAAAATTCAATAGCTATAACAAAAAAATTTATTTCCCAAAAATATTTTACCAAGTGGTTTAACAGGGTTTGCTTTTGCGATGAGCTAATTTTCAGGTGAATCGGTGACCATGAAAAAATGGCCGGAGTACACCTTTAACGTTGTCGACCCATCTCTTGCTCGTGTGCGCTCCCAGCGACAATGACTGGATTTTTTTTCGGTTTCCTTCCCTTCCGAAATGTCTCAGCGTTCCTTTTCAGACAGTCAGCAGCTCACACACAACGTAAATTCACCAGAATCGGAGCCCGTATGAG